GAAGAGGCAGTTTTTATGGATGTAATGTTTCCAAAAACTAAAAAATTAAGCTAACTGCTACACAACAGTAGAAATAGTTGAAGGTGATCAGTTATGTTAACACAGTGGTTCTTAACCTTTTTGAGGTACCAAACCCACCAGTTTCATATGTGCATTCACTGAACCCTTCGATAGTGATAAATAAAATATGATTTTTTTCCCCCAAATTCAAGACATAGGGGTGACCCCTAGTTGGATCACCCCATGATCACTAAGTCTTCTTAAAAGGTAGAGTCTCTGAGAACAGTTCTTCAAAATATAGTCAGTGTTGTCTGTCCAGGAACGACCCAAGGTATTTAAAATCTGCCACAGTTTCAACAGGTTGGCCATCGAGAGAACCTGGAACCACATTAAGGTCTTGTTTAGATCATTTAATTAGTTCTACATTCTTAAGACAGTGAAAAATTAATAATAAATACTTTGCGGTATTCTGATTTAGTATGTAAATTATGTAATTATATTAGTTGTGTTACCACCCCCAAGCCACTAGAGGCAGTAGCAACCCCGAACCCCAGATTTAGAAGTACACCGAAAGCTACAGAATTTGGTAAAAACGGTGAGTTTTACTGAAGTAATTAAAGACACAAGTTCAAATCCATGCTGAGTGTAGCTCCTTCAATCACTGCTCCTCCGCAGCTCTGATTGGCTCAGCAATGTAACATGGTCCTCTGCAGCAAGTGATGGCAAAGCGGGGCGTCATCACGACTTTACAAAGTGTCTCTTTACCTCCGCGGCAGAGGCTCCGCCGAACCCCTGAGACCGACTCATCGAACCCCTGGGGTTCAACCGAACCCAGGTTAAGAACCACTGTGTTAACAGATTAGGATAGGTCTACGCTATATATGTTATTACTTAAATCTGGAAATTTTGCGCATGCGCACAACACTGGAGGGCAAAAGGATAATTATTGCCATCCATAGCCACACTGCTGCAGTAGAACAGGGTTAGGGTTAACTATCCCGTTAACTAAATAACATCTGGAAATGTATAATATTATTAATTTTGTGCAGTGTGTCACAGCAAAGGGAAAAATAACGTGGAAAAATTATTGAAGAGCTCAAAACGACTCATATGCGACGCTACACACAGACCCATCGTTATCGCGATGGGTCTGCTACACTAGTGTATCAGGATTCAACACCAAAAAAAACCCCCCAAAAAAACACTCAAACATTTCCCACACAAAGAACCTGAACATCTAAATGATGTAAAATGTCTGAAGTCCAAGATGTCTACTATGACCGGCCCAAGAAAAGCCGACTTCAATTTGTTCAAAAGTGAGATAAGATTCCTGCCAGAAGCAGGTGAGTGATGTTTAAAAGTAATAAAGATGCTAAAGGTGAAGGGGTTGAATCACTTTGGTACAGCAGTAGTCATTAAAAGCTGAAGTTTGTGTTTAATTTGAATTGTAATGTAAAATGCTTCTGGTTGACTTGTTCATCCTAAACAGTTGCTGGTTGTATATTTGGCCAATTATATTGAATATTTTAAGGTTCTAATGTAATTGGATGTAACAGAAGTAAAGGTTGATGTCTGGTGAGTTTGGCAGGTTTGTTGGAGTCTCTGTAATAAATAATCACAGTTTTTCCCCCCTCAGGTCTTTCCCACATCGGAGAGGCTTGATTCATTAGGACAGCGGGTCTCTGAAGGGAAATCTCAAGAGGTCTTCTAATGGTGCGAGTGACTGAAAAACACTCTGCGAGGAAAAAACCTGAAGAAAGACAACACTTCCTTTTTTTCCTCCCTCTTTCATTAAAAACAAATGAGCTCTCCCTGTCAACAAAGTGCCATAAGCGCTCCGCCAGCGCCACCAGCAGCACCAGCAGCAGCCAGGGGAATTCCCATTAAAGGCGTTTGAGGCCGAATCGGCCTACAAATAAACGCCGTGCTCCTGGGAAATCACAGCAACAAGCAGATACATGTTAAAACTCGGGAGAGGCTTCCCCCAAATCCAGATGTGGTTCTCCGGCCGCCCTCGCCGGTAATGAACCAATTAGAGAGACAATTATGAACACCTGTGACGCTGATTGGCACGGCGCGGCCGCGTCTCCTTCCACGACGCTAAAGACGCTCCGAATGTTGCTAAAGTTAACCTTTAACAAGGCCTGTAATGATGACGAGGGGCCAAACACACACACACACACACACACACACACACAGGAGGTTCGCATTAGGAAGAGCAGCTCATCCCACTCAGCCGCTTATTGCGTCATGTATTATTGAAGGCAGCTCTTGTATAAACACAACTCCAATAAATTGGGGTCTCAGTTTTTCGGATTCATTAAGGTTAATGCAGTTTTAATTAGTGCTTGATTTGAAGCCTATTAGAGGCAATTTATAAGTCCTTCTCGTAGACCTGAAAAATGACGTTGCGTGGGATTAATATGATAAAAGGCACAAGTTGGAGCTGCGGTCCCTGCTGGGTTGAAGGGATTCCTCTCGTTTCGCTGTAACGGTTTGTTTATTTGCACAACTGCTTTCAGGCACATTAAAACAATCTAATGAATGAGCAGCTTTGGCTTCAGGGATTGCTTCATCCACCGCTTGGACAAATGAAACCGAAGTGATTAGTGCTGATTAGAAGAATGCAGAAGAAATGGATTGAAACAGACAACAAGATGTCCTTTAACCTTTCAGAGCAACTTTACTCTCCAGGCACTCAGGTCAGTTTTTCTTACATTTAAATCTGAGGTTTTTAACTTTTATAAAAAAAATGTTTTTTACATATTTGTTAAAACTGTTATGTTGTGACAGCAGAATATGAGACAAATTGTCAGTGAAAAGATTGATTTCCTCCACCTCCTCTCCACAAAAACAATCAATCAGAGCCAGGAGGACGGTCTTAGTGCTGTCAATCAATCCTGTGAACATGTTGCTAAATGTCCTAATGGTGGAGAAACAACTAATTACAGGAAATAGTTTATTCGCCGTCATCGGTGGCTATGTAATGAGCCTGAGCATTGACAGTACACTAGCTGCAACAAAACAGAGAGCTACACACAGGGTGATTGACAGCACCAAGACCCGCCTCCTGGCTCTGATTGGTTGTTTCTACTTAGCATTGGGAGAAGGCAGAGCTAAAAAAATGTCATGGATTATCTGGGGATAGTTTATATATTTTTTAAATATATAAAAAATAAATATTTTTATAAAAGTTACTGTAGTTTTAATGCAGTGGTGTCCAAATATTTAACCCTGGAGGCCAAAACTGACAACCTCAAACTAGTGGTGGGCCACAAAATTAAGTTAATTAAAAATGAAAAATATTGTTTTTTGTAATCAGTTGTTTTTTGTTTTACTTACTTAAACTAAATATTAAAATGTGTAAATCCATTAGGTATCCAAAACATAAGTGGCTTTGGACTGTTTCCTTATTAAATGATAGACAGACATTTTTTTAATTTTTGGGTCATGAATTGATTTTACCAAGCTTGACTTGTGGTCAGGGGCCAAACAAAATCATATGGACATAAAAGGCACCATCTTTATGTTCTGATAATTAATATCAGAATGCCATTAAAACAAGTTCTAAAGTATAATAAAAATAATATCAACTGCACAAAAACACACAGCAGATTCTGAATAAATAATAAAAGTTGTGAGTGAAAAACTAAGTACACCCCATGATTCAAGAACCACTTTTACTGGCAATAACTTGAAGCTATATTATTCTAAATACAACTTCAATAAAATAAATGTTATTTATCCCAAAGGGAGTTTGAATGTAGTAACTCATATCTGTGTCTTTATAGAGTTGTAATGCTGTGGGCAGGAATGATCTCCAGTAGCAGTCAGTCTTACAACAAATCTGAAGAGGCCTCTGACTGAAGAGGGTCTGATGACAGTCCCAACATGCTAACAGCTCAATATGCAGGTAGGAGAGACACCATCAGATGTTTCCAAGCTCTGCTAATCTGCTTCATTTGCTTGTGCTGCTCCTCTTTAAAGTCAGAATTATTTTTCCATAGTAAAAATTGTCATTACTGCTGCACATTTTTTAAAAAGTGAAGTTAAACTGAATTTTGCTTGCAAATAGAAATTATAATTTTTTTTTTTTACTAGAAACGTAGTAAGTTTGGTTTTCACATTGTAACTGTGCTCCACATCAAGCAGCTCAGTGCCGATGATGTAAAATAAACCAAATATTCTCTTTAGGTTTATTGAGTAAAAAGGTCCAGGGTTATTCAGAGTCTGGAAGCCATAAAGTACAAGCAGGACATAAATTCACCACAAAACAGTTTGATTGTCCATGTAGCCCAGCTGGGCCACATGGTGCTTTACTCTCTCAAAACATGGAGGTGTAGAACGAACTGTTGTGGGACACTCTGCAGTGGAGATGCCCTGAAATTACAGCAAGATGGAGCGGAGCCGAACCGCTGACAGCAGGAATCACAGTACATTAGCAGAGCCTCCAACTGCCACACACACACACCTACACACACCTACACACACACACACCTACACACACCTACACACACACGTCATGTTTTTGTATCTTGTGGGGACTTTCTATTGACTTCCATTCACTTTCTACAGGCTAACACTTACCCTAACCATTACATGCTTAACCCCTAACCCTCATCAAAACTCAATTTGCACCTTAATCCTAAACTTAATCCCTACCCCAAAAACAGCGTTTCCCCTCATGTGGACCAAGAAATGTCCCCACAAGAAGCAGTGTCCCGACCACCCCACATTTAGACAGCCTTAGGTCCCCACAAAGATATAAAAACCGGGTTCACGCACACACACACACTCCCATCCACACACACACACACACACACACACACACACACACACACACACCAGAATCTGGATGAATTGTTAACACGTTGTCTGACCATCACCCTCTCATTTCTCCTCTTTCAAGCGGGAAAGCGGCGCCCCTGAAAAAGTTAGCAGGCAGGTGGAAGTCCTGCGTTTGGCTCGCAGGTTGCCGTGGCGACCTCCCAGCTTTGCATGTTTGGAAATTGCCACCAGGAGCGACTAAAACGCTCCCATCTGCAAACTCGGGAGAGACCTGAGATCAATTTTGTTGCGTTTACTGCAGAGAGGCTCACAATGGGAGTTCGCTGAAGATCACTTTCCAGTTGGACGTGATGAGCGGAGGAGCAGGAGGGCGACGCGTTCGCACGTCCCGCAGCCTCATCTCTGTGTAACGTGAGCCACGCATCGCTTCAGTCTCAACACTGTTCCCGTAAACAGGATTTAATTTGCACATGCAAGACTTGCACTCCTTTATGGAGCATATTAAAGATGATGTTCAAACATATCATCAAATTTAACCCAATTATGTCTGTTTTCTTTTCATTTTATAACCATAAGCAGGGAAAGTTGACTTTTAATCAAAGAGAGAAAATAAATCTTTACACTGTGTTGCCGTTTTCTTTCAGGAGCAGGTAATTGATGCCGGCCTCCTCTTCCTCCTCTTCCTCCTCTTCCTCGTCTAACGCTGTGCAGCCACTAGATGGAGCATGATAACCACAGAGAGGCTCTCCCGGTGGGACCCCGACCCCCGACCCCGCCCCGGATCCGGTGGGTGCTGCGGCTCCCTGCGGAGGTGAGAACGGGAAATTGTCTGCCAGGTTTATTACGGATTCCCATCCCGTTTCTTTTTATTGTTTCTTTTTCCATCCAGTTTCTCAGTGCAGGTCACTGGGAGTAAGAGGTCAGAAAAGTTAAAGCAAACAGACTTTTGCAACGTAAAGACTTCTGTTTTTATCCTTCTGTCCTTTAATCTGCTTTATGTGTCAAAATTATGCATAAAAAACATCAAGTAATTTAAATTTAGCTGATTTAGGAGACAGAATAAACTCTTTAAGAATGACTTTTTGGTGGAAACAATAAATTAAACTTGAATAATTTGAATTAATATGAGTCACAACAACATTAAATGTCCCTTCGGAATCAATAAAGTATTTAAGCAGTTTTATTTTTTTAGTTAATTTATCTTTAGGGAGAATTTGTTGCTTTTTGTCCAACAAAATTAAAAACATAGAAGCAGACCAACTCAAATTATTTAGTTTTTTCATTAATTTATCTATTATTATAGAAATAGACTGTGATGTATTTAAATAACTGGACCAAAACATGCTCATAAGTCATTTCAAACACATGCATATAGTGTTAAATGTTTTTAAATTTTATAAATTTACTGCTGGACGTTTATGGGAAAAACTTTCTGTTCTCCATAAAGCAAAGCCCCAAAATGCTGCTAATAAAGTCCAGAGGTTTCACCTGAACCCCTTAATTTACTCTCTGGAGTTTACGGTGAGGTCAGACGGGACCGACGGGAGTTTCAGTCCACAGAAAAAATCCAATATTTTCCCTTTATATGTTGGGAATCACTCCCCTGCGCTCCTACTTTTCGTTTTCACGACTTACGAGTGTAATAAAGTAACAAAAAAAACAATAGTTTATACTAAAATACTGTAACTAATAAATGTTATAAGCTGCTAAATATTGGAAATATTTGCTGTAATTACAAATTTTCAGTGGAAACTTGTGTGTTTGGTTCTTGAAATTATGGATAAAATGATGGCATTAAATAAACGATGTAAATTTTGCTCTCCAAAGAAAGATCTCCAAAAATACAAACAGCAATGTTATATTTTTCTTCAGTTTAAAGTCCATTTTGTGCCGTCAGTGATGCAGCAGAGCCTAGAGAGACGATAACTCTCTCATATTCTAATAATCTGAGGCAGAGGAAATGTATTCTCCTTTATCTGCATTAATGCTTTTAAATGGTTCACAGAGATTTATTTTACTTGGGGCACTTATGTCAAGAGCAGTTACAGGAATTACTCTGGATGCAATCCCATTATAGGATGTCAAATATTTTGATGCTGTTGGTAAATGGCAGCACGGAGTGGAGGACAACAACCGGATGGCAATTCTGCAATTCCAGGATCAGAATAATAATGTAAAAAAAAAAAGCCCATTCTCCCTGTATGCTCACCTTTTGGAGTCCCAGGGCTCACCCCAGCCGGCAATGTAATACCGAACAATGAATTTTAAATAAAGTCAAACATTTGCTTCATGCTCCTCTACAGTTTAAACAAGCCATTTCAGATGGAGACGTGTGGATTTATTGTAAGTAAGAGATATAAGAGATAACTTAATCCCCAATTGGATTGTAAACCCCACCTCCACTTCACATGGCTCCACCCTTCCTTGACCTTTTGTCTCATTTCTCGCCGGGTAATGAATGCTTTCGGACTGAAACGATGCGGCGCGCGGTCCGCAGCGTTGGAATGTCATATCGGTGGAAATCACCCAATCAGCATGCCGGCGTTGAGCGCAAACAGAGCGAGGCGGCGCGGCGCGCGGACCGGTGCCGGACCGGGTCGTCTGGATGTCAATATAATAGACTGGCTTATGATGTGTAAATAACACAGCACTTAATGGTTCGCTCCGGCTCTGTGAGAGCAGCAGAAATCACAGCCGGCAGCTTCACCCAGGCAACAGCAGCGCAGAGGCTGGGAAATCAGGAAATGTAATAATTTACACTTAATTTTTCTACTTTAACCACTTTTATCCCTTTACTACAGATGAATTAGTGGATCATAAGATGAAACATATCAGCTTTTACTATACTAATTCCAAATTAAGTAAACAGAAATGTATTTCACCTTTTATTAGGGACACAGTAAGAAAATTAAAAAATTAAATTACGAGAAGAAAGTTGAAATAATAAATCATATTATGATTTATTCTCGTATTAAATCATAATATGAGAATATTATCATTCTCAGATTACATTGTTATTCTGACTTTATTCTCAAAATATTTTGACATCATTCTCTTATCTTTCTAACTTTATTCTCATCACGACTTTATACATTTAACATGATGACTTTATTCTTGAAATACTGTATTCTCATATCACAACTTCATTCTTGCTTTATTTAGACTTTATTCTTGTGAAATTGTGACTTTATTCTTGGATTATTATGACTTATCATTGTAATGTTCTGACTTCTTTCTCATTATATTTCATTTTATTTTTGTTTTTCTCAGGATGGCCCTGATGCTCCACCGTATTTATCTGTGTTCATCCTCGTGCTTTGACTACACCTGGGTGAAGTCGCCTCCTCCACCTTCTTCAAATTAAATGCAACTGGCATCACATATTTGTGCAGAGACACTTTGTTTGTGCCGTTATGCTTTTTAAGATAAAAAGAAAAAAAACATTTTTACAGCTAAAATTTGTTGTATCTCAGTTGATTGACACAAAACTTGTTTGATCTGAAAATGTAGCGGAGCTGGTTGACCTTTGATGACCCCTGGAAACATTTACTAATATTTTTAAAATGATAGCAGCACAAACGTTTCACACCAATTTTGTTTGATTTGAAGAACACAGAGCAACTTTATTCAGGTTTTGACTGGGCCGTCTTGTCGCTTTAGGTTATTTCTGTTCTTTATAATGTTATATACTTTCATATTATTTTTATTTATACAGCTACGCTCTCACTATAAATGTTTATTCTTATATATTTCTATGCAGAAAGAGTCCATAAGTTAGACGATTTTTGAAAAGTTAATTTATTTCAGGAACTTTATCACCAAGTTAAACACATTAAACAGATTAATTACACACAGATTAATGTTTGAACGTCTTTATTTCTGTTAATTATGACGATTTTCAGATATCAGCTAATAAGAATGACATATATTAGAAAACCAATAAAAAACAATTTTAATGCAGAAAATCTATCTATCTACAGTTGTGGTCAAAAGTGTACATACACTT